GCCGCGGCGCCCCTGCCTCTCGGCCCCGGAGGCGGGAGCGCGGGGCCCGGGAGTTTGCCGGTGGCGGTCCGGAGCGGGTTGCGGGACTTTGGTTATAAAAAGAAACACGCAGCCGGGCGTGGTGGCGCCCGCCGGCCACCCCAGCACTCGGGAGGCTGAGGCGGGAGAATCGCCGCGAGTTCGAGGCCATCCTGGGCTACGTCGTGAGTTCAAGGCCAGCCTGGACTGCATAGCGAGATTGTCTCCAGCAGACAAACTAGGGAGATCATGCCAGTCTCTCTTACCGCGGCGGGGGCGCTTCCCAAACTCGCGCTTTTCTTCCGGGTGGGAGGATGCGTTGTGGTCTGAGAAATCCCGAGTGCGAGCTGTGCTTGGGTCTCCTTCCTGTGTTCCGCAGGGGAGCCGAAAAGCCCGGCCGTGGGCTGCACTGAACGTGCATTTACTGTAGGTCCGACTTCCTCTATTTCCTGGTTTGTAAATGGGCAGCCTCGAAGCGCCTGCCTCCTCCGAAGCAAATAACGTGCCCCGGGGTTACTCACGATCACTTAACGAGCCCCAGTAAACGCACGCGGGCGCTCGCCCAGAGGAGCGCTGGTCTGATCTGTTCTTTAGGGGCCTTGACACCGCCCCCACATCCCAGCAGAAACACTCTTCAGCTCCGAAAGAATTGCTCGGTTTGTCCGCGTTGATGTACACCTAAATGCATAATTGCTCACGTTCTTCTTGGAGCCTGTAACGCTTCCTAAATAGTGGTTCTTGCTTGCAATAAACAAGGACGACGTTAAAGCGAAATTGAAGCTTTATTACTTAAAGTTAGGTTGTTAAATGTCTTGCTCAACAAGTTTACTCTAGCTTTTTGAGGAATACAGGTAAGAAAAATCTGAGGAGTACAAAGTCTAAGGCATGCTGGTGGCTTTTCCTTTAATCGAGGTGGTTGTATTTAGTGGGCAGATACGAAAATGAATTGATGAGGACTTTGTCTTTGTCACCACTCTTGAACTGGAAGAAAATAAAAGCAAGTTTTCAACACTTTTCAAAGAAGGAAAAAGGATGTTTAACAAAATTGTAGTTTGACTGCTCGTTAGTAATTTCATTGAGTAACGTCAGTCTATACACTCCATTGTTATTTCTGCTACATAATTATTTAGATAAACTGGATTAGAATTAATATACTTCATTAATATTTGTTTTTTTTAGCTGTATTCACTGTCCACTATTTTATGCTTGTTTTATAATACTAGTAAGAGAATGCTACACACTATAGATGTTTTCTTTGTATTATTTATTTTTTCCTCATATTCGTAGCAAAATAAAATAGTTATAAGTATAAAAATATTTTTTACTTTTTTAAAAAAAATACTTTTTTCCACAGCAAGTGAAGATGTTAAAGAGATCTTTGCCAGAGCCAGAAATGGAAAATACAGACTTCTGAAAATATCTATTGAAAATGGTTAGTTAAACATTTTAAAATATGTGTCATTGGATTATTGGGTGTTAATTGTATTTTTACATTTCTAAGTGTTCTCAGTAACTCAAACTGTCAGTAAATGTGAAGCAGGTTCAGACCTTGCCGGAAGGAAACTTGGAATCCTCACATTTTGTCCAAAGCCCTTGTTTTTTTAACTGTGTAGTTCTGAGAGAACCACAAAGGTGTTTTTCTGGTGTAACGTCTTCCTTTTACTGTTGTGTCTGGGTCTGCCCTACTGTGCATTTCTCTGTCCTAGACCTGTGTGTGCCTTGTGACGACCTGTACAGTGAAACTTGTTCCTCAGTACAGAGCAAACTCTTCCAGCTCCCCACCTGACTGCACCTGGGCCACTGAAATGTCACTGTTTTGTTTGTTTGTTTGTTTGTTTGGGGAAAGTTTTGAGAATGATAATAAACTCTAAATTCTCTAAGCAGATAACTGGGTAGGAGAATCTTCATAATCAGGTAGATTGGAATTTGAAAAATTATTATGTTATAAAATTATTTATGACGAATGTTTTAAAATATCCCATCGGGGTAATTTCTTAAATACTTTGAAATATTTTGCTTTAGAAAAATTTACTCACCCTTCCTTGAAAGTAAATTATTTTGTTTTCCATTTCTGCTTGTATATTAAAAAGTTTATTACAATCTGTAATTGTTTTGTAAATAATAAATATATACTGTAAAACAGCATATTTTAGGAATGTTCAGCTGAAAATTTTTCAATGCCATTACTGTCCTAAGTGACCCCTTAAGTAACTAAAACGGAGAAGTTAGTTCATCTTATTAACACCACCTCAGAAGCAAAATAGTTTTATTTCCTATGATATTACTTTCTAGTTTTTGTTTTGAGAAAAATTTTAATAAGGAAATTTCTAAGAATGTAGTAATATAAATACCTTCTCTTAGCATCATCTATTAATATTTTATAATATTTTTTAATCCCTTTTAAATTTATTTTTTTCCTGATGTGAGTGTTTCCTTTAAACAATTCTACTTCTTGATTTCCTTCCCCTTAGGCAACTACAATCAGGGACCTTTATATTTTTGCTATCCTTTTTACATGCATCCCTGAATAGGTACAGTGCTGGTTTGAGTTTTTAAGTTCATATAAACTGCAAACCATCTTACTCTGCATCGTTCCTTTTGTTGTAAATTTTTTTAAATTAATTTTGATAGAGAATGTAGGCATCCTTTTAAAATAGGAGTAGGGTATTTTCATATGACTATGCTACTTTTTTTTACTCTTATTGGTAAACATTGAGGCTGTTTGCAGTTTGATTGGTAATGTGCCGTAGTGAATGCTATGTGCGTGTGTGCAGAAGCTGGTGTGAAGAGCACGTTTGCAGTTTTTCTTATTCTGCCCAAAGCACTTAGTAGCTGTACCAGCTTATGTTCCAGGTACACTTGTGAATCTGGGGCATTATGACCAAACAGGAGGTAAATCTGGTTTTATCTCTTATTTCTCACTGAACAATGCAGTATGAATTTTAGAAATTATACTTTTGAGTGTTAGTGCAGTTGTTTAAATGCATTTGGTTAGAATGCCTTTATAGAATAGAAATTTTGAAAAAAATATTTCCCATTGGTCAATCATTCATCTCAACTGTTAGTCGTTTTTATGTATTTTCTTTTGCTAGTCTCCATCACACTACCACTTGGTATTTCAGATCATTCACATGTCTTTTTAAAAATTTCTTTCATAGAGCAGCTTGTGGTTGGATCATGTAGTCAGCCTTCAGCTTCCTGGGATAAGGATTACGACGCCTTCATTCTGCCCCTGTTGGAGGACAAGCAGCCATGTTATATATTATTCAGGTTAGATTCTCAGAACGCCCAAGGGTACGAGTGGATATTCATTGCGTGGTCTCCAGATCATTCCCATGTAAGTAATTTTTTTGTTCTTTGGTCCACATGAAATGCTACAAATAAGTTTTTCCTGATACACTTTTTAGGCCAGGTGCAGGTTAAGCAATGCTTACTTGTCTCAGCCTCCCGGGTGCTGCGTAGGCGTGCACCACAATGCCTAGCTTAAAATAGTTTTCTTAAGTAATATTTTGTTCTTGGAATTCATTTTACCCTTTGAAAAGCAGGAATTTAAAAATTTACATATTTTTCTAAAAATGTGACATACTGTAATTATACTTAATAGCTATTGATACTATTTTAGATGCTTATTTGTACACATAAATTTTAGCATGTTCTGCAAGCTACAGTTCTGTCACAGTTTATTTTTAATGTGCATGAGCTCTTAGTACAGCCCAAGATATGCTTCTTCTGTAATAATACGTTTTCACCTGTAAACTTCTAAGTGAGCTTTCCTAACCGAACAGGTCCGTCAGAAAATGTTGTACGCAGCAACAAGAGCAACTCTGAAAAAGGAGTTTGGTGGTGGCCACATTAAAAACGAAGTATTTGGTACAGTAAAGGTACAAAACTTACGTTTTTGTTGTGGGATGGGACTATGCGTTGCCCTGACTGACCTCAAACTCCTCCAGCACGTCTTAGCCCCTCAAGTAGCTAGACTGTGCTAGCACTTACATTTTTATGTGGATTCTGTATGTTGCAAATAAAATAATAAAAAGAACTGTTAGGTTATGGGTGATATAAATTCAGACAGATAAATCTGTAAATGCATGAAAAGGAAAAAAATGATATGTAAGTTAACTGTAATGCATAGGTAACTTGAAATTTATTCATTTGTGTCTAGTTAACCTTGAGAATAATATTAAAACATACTTATCCTGTTAAAATATTTATATTGTAAGTACATACATTTACACATATAAGCACAAGTTAAGAAAGTTAGAAACAGCTTTGGGCAGGTCTTGTGTACTTGTTCAGAGCTATTCTGATGCAAAAAGTAATGTAATCTGTGGGCGGAGCGCAGGAGTGAATGGGAACTTGTTGCTTGCTCACCGTCAAGGGTGACTTGGGCTGGTTCCTCGGCTCCCTGGGTCTGCCTTCCAGCCAGCAGTGTATTGGTACATAGAGCTCTCTGAAGTACTTGCTTCTTTTCCTATCACATCCACAGTAATTTCTCAGGAATAGTTGTAGGGACAGTAAATTACTTAGATAGTGAATTCGGAATCTAAATTTGGGGGTTATTTGAGTTGCTGCAGGACCGCTTTCCCCACAAGCTTAATTAAGCCGTCCAAGCGCTTGGAGTAGGGTCGGCCTCATTGTTTAGCTGGCATCCTCTCATCCACGGCACCAAAATCGTACAAGACGCTGACGATACTACCTCAGGAGACGGAGAAGAGACGCACCCCTTAACGGGTCTTGAAACCTTTACATAGGAGATTAAAGGAGCATAGGAAGAGAGTAAAATCCCCGCACTGCTCACTTTCATTTACAAGCTCTTCTGTGAAACTGATAATCCGGCTTGGCCTGGCGCCACCTCACTCGTTTTATTCCTAGAGAATAACTGATGGCAGTGCGTTGCTGTGCTTACAGGAGGACGTGTCGTTGCACGGGTATAAGAAGTATCTGCTGTCCCAGTCTTCCCCCGCGCCCCTGACTGCAGCGGAGGAAGAGTTACGCCAGATCAAAATCAATGAGGTAAGTGACGACTTGGAAATGCTGGCAAGAATGTTTAGAACGCTCTACGTTTGGTAATGTTTGGGTAACTACCGGATAAGATACTAAGCCATTTAGGTTCTTTCTGTTTAGAGACAACATTTATGCTCGATGGTTTCAAGAAAAAGATATGTAAGTGTCCCGTGAACTTAGCTCTCTGCTGCAGTGTGTCAGAAGAGCGAATCTTCGTGTTACAGTTGCTGTAAAACTCTGTACTTTGAGAACTATGTAAATGAGAAAATGCATTACCCATATATTGTAAAAAATTTTATGTCTAACAAGTTGCCTACAGCAGGGTTTTTTTTGTTTTTTGATGTACTTTCAAGACTGGTAATGACTAAAGAGAGTAAATAAAAGCTGTAAAATGTTTAAGATTTCTAAACACTTTACAAATTAACGACCATCAACTGGAATGGAGATGGTATAGGAGATTATTGTTTGAATATGTGTTGAACATATTAGTCAATAAATTTCAGTCATTATAGTTTATTGTATTTTAATATGTTTTTGCAGCCATTCTAATTGATTTTTGCGATAACTGCTGTATTTCTACTGAGATTTTATGGAAAAGAAGGAGCCAAGACTAAATTATTAAGTTTAATAAGTTTTACTGAATTATTAAGAAGTAGCGAAAATATTATTCATAGCCTGACTAGTAGGAATCAATCTGGAAAATGGTTAAATACCGTTTAATATTAAATTGGTAGACAGCATCCATGATTACACCACTTTAACCCAGGTTGTTGGAGGAGGGTTTTGGACATGATTTTTTAAAAAGAGTTTGATAGTCTGTTTTGTTCCTTGCAATCAGAGCCCAGAGGACCGTATTGGGGTATGCCTTTGCATATGTTCTGTGACGTTTTCATTATCCAGCATCATGCTGTAGAATCTCCATTCACACATTTTAAAAGTAAAATTTCTATTTGACTTTCTGTTGCAACACCGCAAAAGAGGCCCTATCCTAGCTGCCATCTATTGAGTATTACACCTCACATATGTGCGTTGAAAGCTTTCTTGAAGCGACATTCTCCTGTTTCAATCCATGCACACTCATATTTGCAGTAAAGAAAGCTCTACGTCTGGAACTTCTGCAGTGGTGTAGCTTGTTGAGCTGTGTTGTGTCTTTGTATACTGTTCGTATTCCTTTCAGTTGAGTGCATGGTGTGTGTGTTGCATTTTATGTCTAACAGAACAAAGTAAAATTTTATCCATATTATATGTATTTTACTATTCATAAACTCTATCAAGTAAAATTTTGTACTTGAAGGGATAATCTAAGACTCTAAGAGTTTATTAGGTGCCGGGGATATAGCTCAGCAGCACAGCGCCTGCCTGGCAAGCACAAGGTCCTGAGTTTAATTCCCGGTACCAAAAAAAAAAACAAACCGAGTTTATGTAACTCATTGAAATTGTGCCAACCTACACATAGAAACAAAACCTTCCCTTCGAAGTCCCACTCAGGTGCAAATACACTCATTCACTTTGCGCACTTCATATAGATGTGCCACGCACTCTGCATGCCCACGGAGTGCTAGCAGAAGCAGAGCGCACGTGTAACGTCATTTACTTTGTAAGGTCGCAGTGCTTACCTGAGCGTTCATCTTTAGTTATAGGTTGGGAGATGGCTGAGTGAGGCTCGTTTCTGGAAATTGGGTTTTCTGATTCTTCGCTAGGACTCTGGTAACCACTAAGCTTTGCCCGCGCACTGTATCTGTCGCCTAGGTACAAGCTGACGTTGGTGTGGACACGAAGCATCAAACACTACAGGGAGTAGCATTTCCTATTTCCCGAGAAGCTTTTCAAGCTTTAGAAAAACTGAACAGCAGACAGTTGAACTACGTGCAATTGGAAATTGATTTTAAAAATGAAATTATCGTTTTGGCCAATACGACAA